TCTCTCTCTCTCTCTCTCTCTCTCCTCTCTGTTCTTTTCTGCTCAGGTATCTTTGCAAGCAACTGGTGCACCCATCGCGTCAACCACGCCATGCTGGCCGTGGGCTACGATGCTGAGCAGGAGGGTAACAAAACCACAAATTATTGGATCCTAAAGAACAGGTGACTAAAGAGGATCTGGTACAGGATGAAGGAGAAGGGCATCAAAAATCCATTCCTGTCAAAGTTCAATCTCATTTAACTCTCAAGAGCCGAGGTGGCACAGTGGTTACAGCCAGTACTGCAGGCTGCTTCTGCTGCCTGCTGGCTGCCTGCAATTTGGCATTTCAAATCTCACCAGGCTCAAGGTTGACTCAGCCTTCCGTCTTTCCAGGGTCGGTAAAACGAGGACCCAGATTGTTGAGGGCAATATGCTGACGGTGTAAACTGCTTAGAGAAGGCTGTAAAGCATTGTAAAGCGGTATATAAGTCTAAGTGCTATTGCTATTATCTGGTTTAGCTAAGAAAGTGGGGGAAGGTATTTGTTAGATCAGCGTTTCTCAGCCTTGGGAAGATTGGCTCAGCTGGCTTTTTATACCTAAGAACTCCCAATCTCCTGGTGATTGACCCAAAGTCTCACATCTGGCTTGCATGCCTAAGGTAGGACTAGAACTCACCATCTCCTGGTGATTGGTCCAAAGTCACCAGCCGACTTTCACACCTAAACCAGGGCTAGAACTCACTGTCTCCTGGTGATTGACCCAAGGTCCCCTAACCAGCTTTTATGACTAAGGCAGGACTAGAACTCCCAATCTCTTACTTTCTAGCCTAGGGCCTTAAGTAGATCAAACTCCCTCTCTTATATGTGAATTGCATCCATTGCACAATCTTCATTTCTGGCAGATTTTTTTATTTTTAAAGCAGTTCAACCTCAGCACCACAAAGATTCTGGACCAGCTGTAGAAAGGACACGGCAGAACCTCTTGATCGATTCAAGAGTGTTGGAATTCATTGTTGGAATGTATTTTTGTGCAACTATAGTAGTATTCAGCCAGTAGATGGCAGTATTTACAAGTTTGGGTCTATGGTATAAACTGTATGCTCTTTTCTTCTAAGTAGAGCTTCCTGTTTCCTGTTACAGTTATATAGTTGAGCAGTAAAGCACATGGTGATTGTACTCTTTGTTCTGGTTGTGCTTTATATAAACAGAATTTCTAACAAAGAGCCAAAACGTTTGCCACACACCATCAACTGTCCACCTATTAATCTCCCTTTCTTCTCTTTCCCAGCTGGTCCGAGAAGTGGGGCGAGCAGGGCTACATGCGATTGGTGAAAGGAGTTGATAACCACTGTGGGGTAGCCAATCAAGCTTGTTACCCAGTTATGTAACAGATCCAGCATCGGTTCACCCCAAATCTTCTCCGCTTCGGAGTTTCATCCTTTCCAACTGAGTTGTCTCTTTGCCGGCATCATTGCCCCAGATTGGATTAAACAATTTGAATCAAATTTATTTCTTCCTGGTTTCTGATCCTAGTTTCTCTACGGTGTGAAGAGTGCTCGGCTGTTGTTAACAGCTTCCTGGATCTTACAAGGAGGGGTCTGCAGTTCGCAGATTTTAATAAAGGTTCTCTTGAGCTTGTCTGGTGCCTAACGGAGTGATTCCTACATCTTTCCTTTATTTTTCCCCTCTTTCCCTCCCCCACATACATGTGAATACCAGTAGAAGAGAATATTTGTGGCTCATGGCTGAACTGTGGGGTCCTTGATGCTCTCTGGGCTTGGTGGTTTTCTTCCAGACGTTTTGTAACCCAGCTAGGTAACATCATCAGTCCTAGTGAGTATGCAATCTGCTCCCTGTTTATATATAGGATAGATACGTAGTCCATGACTTACAACTCTTCATTTAGTGACCGTTCAAAGGCACCGAAGAAAAGTCACTTACGACCAGTTTCTCACACTACTGTTGCAGTCACGTGACAAAAATTTAGATATTAGGCAATTGGTCTTTTTTAGGTTGCCCTCCTTTAGAATAAGGATGCTGATCATGCCAATTGCATTGTCCCTGGTATTTGTATGACTTTTAGATAAACCGTCTTATAGAATCATAGAGCCGGAAGGGGCCTCATCTAGTCCAGGAGACCCTATGCCATTCCAGACAAAATGGCTGCCTGGTCTCTTCTTGAAACCCTCCAGCGATGGAGCACCCAGAACGACTGGAGGAAAGTTGTTCCACTGGTTGGTTGTTAATTAGTTTAGGTAAAATGTATGTGGAGATTCTCAGTCATCCAGGTCAGAGTTGTCTCAAAGGAATGGAATGGAATAGAAAATAACAGTATAGGACATAATAATGGAATGAGATAGAATAGGGTAGGGTAGGTAGCATTGGGTAGGGTAGGGTAGGGAGAGTAGGATAGGGTAGGATAGGATAGGGTTGGGTAGGGCAGGGTATGGTATGGTAGGGTAGNATTTATAGAAGAGTGCAACTTGTATCATTTGCATAATTCATCCACCATGCTTGGTTACTTGTCTACATCTGACCCTCACCATAAAACCTCCCACCTGTTCAAATTTTCATATATTTCTGACTTACTATCCTATTTTTGCAATTGTTAAACAATCAGTAAATACTAAACAAGAAGAAGCTTTATAAAAGCTGTACATCTTCCTAATTTTTAAAACAACAAATCTTTAAACACTAAAGGTTTGGAGTAAGTGATCCCCAAATTTCTAGCTGTTCTTAATTTTAAGTTCCAGGTTTATTTCATGACTCAATCTCCCAGTGCCGGGAGAAATCAGACTCTCAGAACATCCAATGATGATAGAAGAGTGGCTCAATTAGAATTTTTCAGCATATGGGTCCAATTTAAATCACCCAAATCCAATCAGAACATTGACTAAAATTCAGAGTTTTGCAATACGTTTTTGGACTGCTTCACCAAAAGTGTGTGTGTTGTAGAACATATAATTGATTAGTGTGATCCATTATTAAGGAAACATTTTTATCAGTTATGCATTTTTAGAAAGCACATAGAGAAATACATAAAATTGAGGGGAGATCTAGCAATGATCCACAAATTGGAAGGAAGGAAGAGAAGAAGTTGGAGAGTGGAGAGAGAGGGAAAGGGAGCAGAAGGAGGAGGAGGAAAGAAATAAAGAAGGAAGGAAGGAAAGAAAAAAAGAGAAAGAGAAAGAGAGCAAAATAAGGAAGGAAGGGAGGGAGGAAGGAAGGAAGGAAGGAAGGAAGGAAGGAAGGAAGGAAGAATTTGAATATTATACCCATCAGCATATACCATACAGAAATGCTTTAAATTTATTCCTCTTTCAGTTTAATCCACAAAACTCTATCCCTTTTCCATTTGCGCTCTCTGATAGAGCTGTGGAAATTTCTAAAGGGGTCCTTCAGCTTGATGAAGATTTATGTGAAGGAACCCTTCCTAGCAGCTTTGATACACCCCACGTCTCTTCTAAACAGTGGAGTGAACACATCTGTTTACTGAAGGAAATAGCTTTCTGTGGATTCACAGCAGCTCATTTTCCACAGAGGAAAGCATAAGAAAAGATGCTTTCCATTACAAGGGAGCTTCAATGAATGAGCCATGTAGCTTATCAAGGCAAATTACACTTGCCTCATGCTGCCATTCCATCTGACGCAATCATCATCTGTTGCCACAAGCAGAGGATATAGACAGAAAATTCACCACAGAAAAGTTAGAGTTCCCATGTCTCATTATGACTGGGAATAACATATAACAGAAGAAAACACAACAACTAATACTTTGTGGGATTTAAACATATTGATCAATACTCCGATTGAAGTCTAGAAAGTTACATGGCTTTATATTATCAAGGAATTTATGGTTTGCTTTTAAAAGGGGGGATTAAAAGCTATTACACAAAGTAAAATCATAATTGATAATCATTCTTAATCATCATGCTGTACCATCCCTCTATTTTAAGATATTTATTTTGTTTTAACATTTATTTTGAAAATATTACTAATTTCATTATATTTACTATTTTTATGAATTTTTATGCTTGGCATTTATATAGAAACATTTCTATTTTAATTAGAACTTATTTAGTTCTTTGTAATTTGTGGGTTTTTTATTTTATTTTAGAAAAACAGAATATATAAATTTCATCATCATCAACATTTCTTACCTGCAATCTTGTTTGGATATTTTATTTTATTTCTGCAGCAAGTAATTCTGCCTCTTCCTTTTCCTTTTCTTCTACTCTTCATTCAAATTGTGATAAAATGCAATTCTTTATTAGAAAAAAAGCAAGACAGAAGCAGTAAATCTATTTCTGTCAGATCACAAAATCTTAAATAGTAAGACAGCTGATAAATGGGACAATCTGCATTTATTGTACGAACAGGACTTGAAGTACAAAATTAATGTTCATACCTGAGAGAAATGTTTCCCATGAATTAATGATATTTCATGTTTCCTCTACTGTTTAAGTTGCTCATTGAAAAATATATGTCTCTAAAGGGCAGTTTTAAATTTGGAATTTTGTCACCCACAATATGTGAGAATGAGTACGCATTCCTCTTTGAGCTCAAAGAAATGTCATTTTTAGACCTGTTCTGCTAAGTGCCCTCTTGAAATTTAATATCCTACTCTTTCACTCTCAGTCTAAGTCTAGACAATAAGCATAGTGCAAAAGTCCTCTAAGATTGCCTCTTAAAGCTGGAATGAATTAATGTAGTCTCCAAGACAGTAAACAAGTCACAGCCTATTTACATACAGTGTTAAGGGCTTTTAGGCTACAGAATGGACCAACTTGCCATGTTCAACTTGCCATGGGATAATTTGCCACAGGACAATTAAACATATTCAAAGGTTAAATTCAATGGAATTGAAATAATAAAATAAATGCATCCATCTAGAAGTACAGGAATTACACTAATTTTAACAATAGTATGGTCACCAATTAAAAAAAGTAACTGAATGAAATGATTAATACAGCACTGAATTGTCCTGTGGCAAATTGTCCCATGGCAAGTTGAACATGGCAAGTTGGTCCATTCTGTAGCCTAAAAGCCCTTAACACTGTATGTAAATAGGCTGTGACTTGTTTACTGTCTTGGAGACTACATTAATTCATT